ACAGCCATGAGTCGTGTTTCTATAACCTGTATTATTCTCACTTGCTCAAGAAAACCAGTAAGAAAAGTGGTTCGTCCACCTGAAAACAAGCCACACTGCAACCAGCTGAACACAATCTCCAACCCCTTGCAATGCCTGTGTGTGTGTGTGTGTGTGTGTGTGTGTGTGTGGACTGGTCATGGTGTTCCGATGCCTGATTATTGTCTTCCAAAGCAACTACTCGATTCCAAACTTAAGAATGGTAAACGTAATGCCGGTGGACAACAAAAGAGATTTAAAGATGTTCCCCAAGCAAATTTTAAAAAGCACCAACAACTGGTAATCACTGGCTTGTGAGTGCTCCATCTGGAGAATAGTCTCTACCCAAGGCATCATGGACTTTGAAGGAGCATGAACTCAGGATGAAAGGAAGAAACGAACTAAGAGGAAGGCATGTGTGGCAAATCCTCACCGTGAACAACTCCCGCCCGGAAACCTATGTCCCCACTGTGGAAGGATGCGTGGATCCAGAATTGGCCTCCACAGTCACTCATGGACACACTGTTAAGATCACATTCATGGAAGACAATCTTACAAGGCTATGTGTGATCACCAAAGAAAGAAGAATATAAATAAAGGACCTACCCACATGATGCTGACACAAATCCCCACACTAACACTATGCAATAGAATGTGTGTGTGTACACACCCACCCACCCACCCACCTCTCCCCTCTTTATTTCCCCCCTAACTGCAAGATGTCTCATTCCAAATATAAATGAACTGTGAGAAAGATTCTATGAATTGAAAGTAGAACCCTATTTGAACTTTTCCTCTTTTTTAAAAAACAATTTTGTAACACAAGAAAACCTTCAATAAAAACTATTTTAAAAAACAAACCCCACCATAAGGTGTTCATAGAAAGATTTTGGTGCTTGACTAGCCCTTTGAAAAGGAAAAGGGACCCCTGACCATTAGGTCCAGCCATGGCCGACTCTGGGGTTACGGCGCTCATCTCGCTTTATTGGCCGAGGGAGCCGGCATACAGCTTCCAGGTCATGTGGCCAGCATGACTAAGCCGCTTCTGGCGAACCAGAGTGGCACACGGAAATGCTGTTTACCTTCCCGCTATTTATCTACTTGCACTTTGACATGCTTTTGAACTGGCAGGAGCAGGGACCGAGCAATGGGAGCTCACCCCGTCGCGGGGATTCAAACCGCCGACCTTCTGATCAGCAAGTCCTAGGCTCTGTGGTTTAACCCACAGCGCCACCCGCGTCCCTTAATGACCAGCCCTTTACATGGTGGTAAAATAAACAAAGTGAGTGGATGTTTGTTGCTCTGCAAGAGTGCCAGCTTGGCCCTGCGACCATGGTGCCATGCATTGTACATGGCTCTGGCACTGAAATTTGTGGGTACCTGGCCCTTCCATGGGGAATTTTATGGGTGCTTGGGCACCCAGCACCCCAGGGATTTGGCACCTATGTTTCCCTGTAAAGGTACCCTGTCTCTTGAGCTGACCACCGCATGGCGGAACTAGTCTTAGAAGTTCATCCATGGCTATCAAGATAGAGAGGTGGTTCTGGGGTGAAAAAATACACTCAAATGGAAGTTTGATATCAGTCATTCCTGCTTCAAAATATGAACGAACCCACAGTGCCATTTTTGTACACTGCACCCAAGATCAATAAAGTGTGTGCTATTTTTTATTTGCCCGTACTGCCTTGACATCATTGTAGATGGAGAAATGGGGAAGTTCAAACTTAAGTGTGATCCGCTGGCCTCTTGACATTTTAGAAGTCCCTCCAACACCCAATTCCATTTCATCCTGTTGTTGCTGATAAGGAAGTTGTTCTAACTTTGGCGAGGCGACATGGCGCCAGTTAGTGTTCCCTCAGTGTCTTTCATACTCTGGGACGCGATCCAGAAAAACATTCTGTTTTATGAGATTTCCTTGGCCTGCTTGCATAAAGAAGCTGGAAGGAAAGATAACACAAATGCAAGTGTTTTGTTAGAACAAAGGCAGTTTAGAAAGAAATGTTGGTCCTGGTGTGCGCCCAAGAAATAGTTGTGATTAATACAGAGTTGCTATCCTCAAACGTTATTCAGAAAGCCTCTCCTCCTCCAGGAGGGGAAGGATTGTGAGTGGGACAGTTTCCCGTGTTATGCAGGGGGCGTTCCGGCCCCTGCCCTGCTCCGTCGTTGGCGCGCCATGCCTTCCAAAAGAACACCCAATCAGGTGGCAGCTTGGGGGCGTGGTTTAGCCGCTCAAATGTGGCTGCGCCAGCTCTCCCCGCCATTGCTCTGCCGATCTCTTGTTGGTGTATGGAAGGGCAATCACCTACCCCTTCACTTTTGGGTATTCCATTAAAGGAATCCGGTGGTTGTGGACCCTGCCCTGTGCGGCTGGGGCCATGGCACGACCCCCGGTGATATCAGGAGAGAATTTATAGTTGTATTTGCATCAACAGGCTCCCCCTACTGGTGGTTAACCCTCATCAGACTCACCCCTCTCTGAGCGATGGGAGCTCAGAGAAGCAATTTGTGGTTGTCCAATGCCTAAGCCAATACCTCTCACATGCTGTAATCAATAAAGTTGTGGCCTTTTCTAGCCCATTAACCTAATATTCTGTGTCCACGTGTCTTAATTATTCCCAAGCGGGAAACGGGTCCTCGAATCACAAGTAACAATGCAGAGCCCTAAAACTAGGAAAGGTTGAAACATGGTTTCTCAGTTTTGGAAAGAAAGGGTATGGAGCAACAAACTGTAACAAATGGCTCTTTCCTTCTGAATATGATAGACATGATGAAGGCCCTTTCCTAATAATAGTCTTGATGCTGTAGTACAAACTAGGTAACTGGCAGTGACCAGAGAAAACCTCACACTTAGAATGAAGGAAGACCCCTACAGGATCAGTACAAATATCTATTTAATCTACATCTTGTTTCCTACCAGATGTCTTTGCAAAGCCCACAATAAAGGGCATCAGAGCAATGCAACTCTTCCTTGAGCCCTGCGGTCCATAAAGTATCTACCAAGACCAGGTCCACTGCTGAAGTGCTGGTCACTTTGCCCATTCTCCTTCCATCAAGCGTTTTGCCCCATAGCAGTGCAGATGGGAGAGGACCAGTTTGGGCGAAAGGATCAGAGTGATTCAGCAGGGCAGGAAGTACAACAAACGAATCTCACTCTTTTCTTTCCATCTTTGAAAGGTCCAAGCACCTTCTCTTCGCTGATGCCTAGGGAGCTCCACAAGCTTAGGGGTTGTGGAGCTCCTTCACTCATCTGTCCTGCCGGACTTCAATGGAGCCAGCATTTTCAATGGACAAACTGACTTCAAAATGGCAAAAGGTCTGTAGTTCAGTGTCAGAGCACCTGCTTTGCATGCAGAAGGTCCCAGGTTCAGTCTCCCAGGTAAGGCCAGAAGAGTCCTCTTCTGAAATCCCAGACAGTTGCTTCCAGTCACAGGAGACAATGCCAGGCTAGAAGGCCCAATAGTCTGAATCAGAAGAAGGCAGCTTCCTATGTTCCTGTGATTGTTACAATATGTAAAAAATGATCCTCAAAGGGTTTCATGCAATAAGCAAAAATAGTCTGTCAAATTGCTTTATAGAATCATAGAATTGTAGAGTGGGAAGGGACCATGAGGGTCAACTTTTGCATGGTGAGGCCCAGGGCCCCGCAGCCCTCTTAGGTAATAAACACACGGACATGAATATTTAGGTTAATGGGATAAAATAGGCCACAGCTTTATTGGTTACAGATGTGAGTGGTTTGGCTTAGACATTGGGTGAAACCGGACTCTGTCCTAACTTTTGCCTGTCTGCAAGGAGTCTGCAAGGAGCCAGTGTGGTGTGGTGGTTAAGAGCGGTTAAGAGCAGTGGACTTGTAATCTGGGGAACCGGGTTCGCGTCTCCGCTCCTCCACATGCAGCTGCTGGGTGACCTTGGGCCAGTCACACTTCTCTGAAGTCTCTCAGCCTCACTCACCTCACAAAGTGTTTGTTGTGGGGGAGGAAGGGAAAGGAGAATGTTAGCCGCTTTGAGACTCCTTCGGGTAGTGATAAAGCAGGATATCAAATCCAAACTCTTCTTCTTCTTCTTCATAAGGGTAAACCACCGGTAGGGGGAGCCCTATGATGTACATCAAATCGGGGCACCCCCAGGGTCACCAATGGGGTCTTGGCATGTCCCTAGCCCACACCCAGGCTTTGGACAGGATCCACACCCCCGGATCCCTTTAATGAAATATGCTTAATGAGGAGGGGCAGGCGGAGGCTACAGCCTCCCCTCCCATAAACAAGGCTTAACCAATGCCTAACCTCATAAAGTTGTGACGATTGCTACAAGGTGGGCAAAGACCAAACTGCTGGTGCTGATTTATCCAAGTAGGGAAAATTCCTACCCAGCACCATCAATATGGCAGTCGACATATGTCCATAGCAAGGTCATGGCATACAGGTAAAGGTAAAGGGACCCCTGACCATTAGGTCCAGTCGTGGCCGACCCTGGGGTTGCGATGCTCATCTCGCTTTACTGGCCGAGGGAGCTGGCGTACAGCTTCCGGGTCATGTGGCCAGCATGACTAAGCCGCTTCTAGCAAACCAGAGCAGCTCACAGAAACACTGTTTACCTTCCCGCTGGAGCGGTACCTATTTATCTACTTGCACTTTGATGTGCTTTCGAACTGCTAGGTTGGCAGGAGCAGGGACTGAGCAATGGGAGCTCACCCCGTCGCGGGGATTCGAACTGCCGGCCTTCTGATCAGCAAGTCCTAGGCTCTGTGGTTTAATCCACAGCACCATCCACATCCCAAGGTCATGCCATACTAGAGCTTAAAAAGAGGGTGGCCAGAAGACAAAAAGGAGGGCACCCCCCCGGCCGTGTCACAGTTTAAATGGTCAGCCAGGGGGTGTGAAGTGGCTGGGAGTCCCAGCGATGTGGGTGGCATCCCCCACACTCCGCTGGGTCACTGCATGGCCGAGGTGCCCTCCTGCAACACCACCCCCTGGGGAGGGGAGCGGACTTGCCCAACATGGAAAGTGAACCCACAACCCTGAGATTATAAGTCTCATACTCTACCAACTGCTACCACAACTCCCATCAGTCCCAGCGAGCTTGGCCAATGATGATGGATGATGGGAGTTGTAGTCCAACAGTACTTGGAGGTATCCTGCCCCTGTTCTGTAGTCTACACTGCCCTCAGCGTATATAGTACTTTGCAGAGTGGCCTAAACAGAAGCCAGGCCCTAGAATCTTTCCATCTAAACTGCTGAAGCAAATGTTACGATGGGATCCTGCTGTAATCACAGTGTGCATTAATTCTACTCTTCGAGTAATAAACCTGTGGATGAGTACATTTCTAACCTATCTCAGCAAATACCTTTAGTGATAGATCTGCAAGATGGGCACACTTTCTGTTTTTTAAGGTTGAGCGTACGAAAGCTTATCAGAGCTGCTGCATATCATCTTGTACATAACGGGGGTGCAAGAACATGTGTGACAGCTTTTAAGAGAGACCTAGAGAAGAATTCTACAAAAGGCTAGATCACTGAAGTAGCAGAGTCCAAATTTATTGCTGTCATACTAGACTACTCCTCAGTCTACCAGCACAAAGGCGCCTAGGGAGCTGTATTTGAAAAGACAGCTCCACACGAGAGTTTCATTAGGACTAAGATTTCTCGATAGAATTGGAGAAAGGGCAAAATAAAATGGCAAGAGGAAGATGAAAGACCTGTGAGGTGACTTTCTCGGTGACAAAATGTTTAGTTAAAAGTTTGCAAGAAACACCGGGTGAGAGAGGGAGGGGGAGAGAACTTTGCTAATTGGAATATATATATACCGTATATATATATATATGAAAAACTTACAGAAAAGCAGAACAAACATATGAAAAATGCATAAAAGATAATGTTGGGGTGTATGGTAAAAATGGGTTGCTTATGATACAATAAATAGTTGGGACAGCCAATCACCAAGCAGTGACTTTTTGTAAGCTACAATCTAGACATACACTGTGTATCTGTAAGGTAAAGGTAAAGGGATCCCTGACCGTTAGGTCCAGTCGTGACCGACTCTGGGGTTGCAGTGCTCATCTCGCTTTATTGGCCGAGGGAGCCAGCATACAGCTTCCAGGTCATGTGGCCAGCATGACTAAGCCGCTTCTGGCGAACCAGAGCAGTGCACAGAAACACTGTTTACCTTCCCGCTGGAGTGGTACCTATTTATCTACTTGCACTTTGATGTGCTTTCAAACTGCTAGGTGGGCAGGAGCAGGGACCGAGCAACGGGAGCTCACCCCGTCTCAGGGATTCGAACCGCCGACCTTTTGATCGGCAAGTCCTAGGCTCTGTGGTTTAACCCACAGCACCACCCGCGTCCCTTTTCCACCGCATAGGGGTCAATGTGGCACTTTTGGGGCTGTACCACAGAGGCACGGACCTTTGCTTACTCTCCTTATGTGTGTTTAACTAGTTGCTGTTCTCTAGGTGCAGCCCAAAAATAGTTGGTGAAGCTGGGGTTGGTCTCCACCTGACAGCTAACAAAAGTCTTTTCACTGCAATCTGCCTGCTCCCTAAGCCAACAGCTGCCTCCAGATGAATAGCAACCCCCCCCCACCTAAAAGCAGCCACAGTTGTGTCCATGTTCTTGCTTTTCATGGGTACAGCTAGTTGGTCAAACCTTCTGGATCCTTCGAAAAACTAACCAATAAACTGAAACTGAAACGGGGACAAATAGAAGAAGACGCCTTCACCCCAGTTAAGTTCCCCTTTATCACATACACAGCCCAACAAGACAACGACAAGAATCAGCATACGAATCAATCTGGCTAAACTGATTCAAAAATACACACTCACACCCCAATCACACACAAAAACAATTCTTACCATGGCCAACCAAAGAAGAAGAAGAAGAAGAGTTTGGATTTGATATCCCGCTTTATCACTACCCGAAGGAGTCTCAAAGCAGCTAACATTCTCCTTTCCCTTCCTCCCCCACAACAAACACTCTGTGAGGGGAGTGAGGCTGAGAGACTTCAGAGAAGTGTGACTAGCCCAAGGTCACCCAGCAGCTGCATGTGGAGAAACGGAGACGCGAACCTGGTTCACCAGATTACGAGTATACCGCTCTTAACCACTACACCACACTGGCTCTCTGACAACCAACCACACCCTAAGACACCCCCAACCTCTCTCACCACCAAGAAAATACAACAAGTGAATAGTAAGAGAACCCATACTGTACTATTGCATGTCAAGGTCCCCAAGCCACCCCCCTAAATAAATTCACATAGGATTTTTGTTTAAGGTTTTTGGCATAATTTTGGCCACAATTTTATTAAAATACATAATGTGAGTGGTTGCTTAGGCATTGGTTACGACTATCTGACCCCGCCGCTGGACAGAACTGACTTCCAGATTCCAGCGAAAGTCAGTAAGGGAGAACAATATTGGGGACAGAATAGGGCTGGGCACCATACCGTCACCCCTCCCCACATGCTTCCAGGGGCTTGCACGGCCCTAAGCCCCATTCAGGGGTACGGACGAAAGAATGGCAAGCCCCTGGATTCCTTTAAAAGAATTCCCTTGCAGCAGCAGCATTGGAGGGGCAGGCACAGCCAAACCTTACCCCTCCAGCAACCAAATTTTAACCAATGCCTAACCGCAACCTTACAAGTTGTGACGATTTGCTATGCAGTAGGCAAAAACCAAATGGCACCAGCCAATCTGCCAGATGGACAAAATTCCTACCAGGTCCCTGCCCCAAAAGCAGACGACCCCATGACAGGCATAGCAAGGTCAAACACAACAGCCCTAAATTAGGGAGGGTGGGCTGGCTGTCTTGGCTTCCTCTTTAGCCAGGCACAACCTCTCCAGACGGGAGAGGCTGCGCTCCGCTTTGGCAGAAGCCAAGACAGCGAGCGAGATGGATCCCGCTCACTGTCTTGGCTTTGTTTTTAGCCGCGGGGCTGGGGCGGGGGAAGCCTGAGCTTCCCCCAACCCCAGACCCCAGAACAGGTCCGGGAGTGCAACCTCGCCTTCGCTCCCAGAGCTTGCTGCTATCCGCAAGCCTTCTGAGTCAGGCGGGAACTCCCGCCTCGCTCTGAAGGCTTGCGGACAGGTGCCCGAAGCCCGGGGTGCGCAGAGCTGCGCTCCCTGGGCTTGGGGCTGCAATCCGCAAGCCTTCTGAGCCCGGCGGGAACTCCCGCCACGCTCCGAAGGCTTGCGGGTAGCTGCCCTAAGCCCGGGGTGCACAGCGCTGTGCTCCCCGGGCTTGGGGCTTGGGGCTTGGGGCTGCAATTCGGAGTTCCCGCCGGGCTCCGAAGGCTTGCGGATAGCTTCCTGAAGCCTGGAGAGCGAGAGGGGTCGGTGCGCACCGACCCCTCTCACTCTCCAGGCTTCAGAGAAAGCCTGCATTCGCTCCATAGGACGCACACACATTTCCCCTTCATTTTTGGAGGGGGAAAAGTGCATCCTATAGAGTGAAAAATACGGTATATATGACTTTATACTTACTGAGCTCCTCTAGTCATTTTTTCATCCTTCCCAAATGACAGCACTTCGGGTTCTTCTTAAATGGCTGTATTCTCTCTAGACCAAACCCTATAAACATGGAGATGAACAGTTGTGTTTAAGAAGCAGACAAGCTTTATGTTTCTGTTCTTGCATTTTTGTTTTTTTAAAAAAAAAATATTTATTAATAATTTCAGAATTACAGAAAAAAAATAAAAAATAAAAAACAACACTGTAATACATAAAAAGAAGAAAAAACGCAAAACATAAAAACCAATACAACAATACAGGAAAAAGAAAATAAAAAAGGGAAAAAAGACACAAATCCCATATTACATATCTTTAACTTCCATTTGCTTGTTTCGTTGACCTCCTCACACCTCCCTTTTTGTATTCTAGTTTAGTTAGTTATTTCAGCAAATTCTTTCCATCTTTCTCAATTTTTATTAGATAATTTATCTTAACAATTTAACCTATTAATTAACTCGACAGATCCTTTCCATCTTTCCCCATATTCTGTTATTCAAATTACCTTAATTTATTTAACCTTATCTTACCATAAAATACCTTAAAGCTTAAAACTTAATACTCAGTTATACATAACTCCTGATATCATTTCTGCTAGAGTCATATAGTTTCATTCCAACATTTTCCCTAATATTCATTAATTTTAGGCTAATTCCCTAAATAAAAAATTTTCTTTATAAATTTTCTTCCAATCTTCATCCAACGTCTCTTCTTCCTGGTCTCGGCTCGTGTCAGTCCTTACTGTCCATTCCATCTAGTTCATCAACCTGGAAGTCTTATGTCTGAGGCCCTTAAGTCTCTTCCATGTCCCTTCTGCAGATCTTCTTCTTCTTGTTTATACTTACACTTTTCCTTGTCTTTTGTTGGTCTCTTTCTTAATTTCTTTCCTTTCTCATTGAGGAGTAGGTCTCTGGGGGGTTCCAACCCAAAGTTATCTCCGTCTCCCTTCATCAAACCAGCCCATTCCCCACAGTCCCACTCCCCACGGTCATCAATATAATCCAAAAAATATTTACGAGCATATTTCAAAGTCTCTCCAAAGTTAAAAGCCTTCTCAGCTCCAGACTCTCCCTGGCCCACTCCAACTTCAATCTTCAAAAACAGCGGCTTATGCTCCTGTAGGGCCTTGGGCCTCTCCATTTGTATTATTTGAGGTGCAACCGCAGCCTCCTCCATTATCTTCTGCACTTGCCCAATCAATACAGGTTCCTGAATTGGATCCTGGATGGTTTCTGTATCACTATTCACTGTTTGTCCACAGTTATTGGCCACAACAGTCATCAAATCCATTTTCTCATTCGTCAAATCCATCTTCTCATGCATCTGTTCCAACAAAGCATTTGTCTTGCATTAAGCAAGCACCAAAACTTCCTTCCAGCTCATATTTAGTCAAGGTCAAAAGGACTAATCCCACGATCTTAATCTCACAGCTGTGGAATCCTCAAGTAGACTGCAGCAACAATTTAGCAGGCTCCCTCTAGAGGAGACAATTTCTATTTGTATCCATCTTTTTAAGGCAAGTCCAACAAAGGAAAATTACTTTCATTTTTCAGATATTTTG